CCTGAGAACATCATCTGTTCTGACTAAGGAACAAAGCCAGTCATGAAAGACAGTGTGCTGTGATTCTATTCACATGAAACGCCCACAACAGGCAAATTCATAAAGACAGAAAACAAATGAGCAGTTTCCTAGGGCTTGGGATGGGTAGAGGAAAGGGGAGAACTGCTAATGAGTACAAGAGTATTTTTTGGGGGGGATTCATGAAAATATTCTAAAATACTAGTGATTAATACAACTAAAAACCCATTGAATTATAAATAGGTAAACTGCATGGCATATGAATTATATCTTAATAAAGATGTTATTTTTATAAAAAGAGATTGACTAAAGCAAAAATAATAATGTATTATCAGATTTATATCATAGCTAAAAAGCAAAAAATGCATGACAACAATAGCTCAAAAGACAAGAAGGGGGAAGAACGTGCGCTGTTGTAAGGTTCTTAGGATAGTCACCAAGAGGGTAACACTGCTTTAAGGTGGACTGTGGCAAGGTGAAGATGTAAATCCTACAGCAAGCACTAAGAGAAATGAACAGAAACAAACAAAAGAATTACTATCAATAAGTTAAGAATAGAGATAATGTGGGATAATAAAACATGCTCGATCTCAAAGAAAGGAAGAACAGAAGAAAAAAGGAACAAAGAACAAGTGGGCAAATAGGATGCTAGTGGCAAAGGAGTAGGTTTAAACTCAGCTGTGTCAATATCAGCATTAAATGTAAATGGTCTACACTCCAATGAAAAGGTCAAATCTGTCAAATGGAATAAAAATAACAATTATTATATGCTTTCTAAAAAGCATAGATTTGATTTTAAATATAAAGTCAAAGAGGTTAAAATAAAAGAGTGGGGGAAAAAGGGCCTCCCTGGTGGCTCAAGGGGTTAAGTCTCAGCACTATGAAGCAATCCACAGCCACTGCAGCATGAGTTCAATCCCTAGTCAGGGAGCTACCCACACGGCGCAGCAGACCTCTCCTGTCTCACCCGCTGCTCCCCTCAGCAGTGTATTTCAGCCAGTCTGCCTGTTCTGTTCCCCACTCTGTCTCTGGTGAATCCTCTTATCCCTTGCATCTCTGGCCTGCACCCCAGCTCTTATATGCATAAATAAATAAAATAAATCTTATAAAAAAGATAAGCCCCATAAACATCAACAGAAAGCAGGAGCGATTATATTAATATGGAATGTCAAAACAAGAAAGGTCAGCAGAGACAAAGAAGGACAATTCATATTGATGAGGAATTAACTTCTTGCAAGGACATCACCACCTTAAATGTTTATGTACCTAAGACCAGAGAACGCTAATACACATGAAGCAAAAACTGAGAAGAACTTAAAAGAAAAACTAAAGGGGAAAGGTCTAGGGGCAGCTCTAGTAGTTTAGAGATGGGTGTGGAGGCCATGATGAGGGCTATCTCCAGAAACAAGTGTAGGGAGAAGACAGAGCAGGACAGAATCAAGGACCCGCATCGGTGTTTCCGGGTGAACAGAAGAAGTAACTCTCATGATGAAAACTGAGAAATACTTATCGGAATGGTAGGTGGAAAAGAGGGAGAGAGGGAGGCCAAGGAATGCAGGGAAAATCGCTTCAAAGGCACAACATGCTCCATAATGTCAAATGCCACTGAGAGGCAAACTAGGAACTACACGTGCTGCTCGGTTCACGGTGAGAATCGCTGCAGCAGCCCAGGGAGCAAGCAGGGTGGTGAAGTGTGGGCAGGAGCCAGGTTGCTGTGGATTAAGGACTCAGCGGGAGAGAAGGAAGTGGAGGAGAGAAACACTGGCCACAGGCTTGCTGGGGAGGGCAGGAGAGACAGGAGTTTGTAGAAATACAAAGGTATTTTTTTTGTTGTTCGTTTTTTTTTTTAAAGATTTATTTATTTATTTATGCAAGCACTGGGTACAGTCAGAAGCGCGGGAGGGTGAGAGAATTCACCAGAGCCAGAGCGGGGAGCAGAGCAGGCAGAAGGACCGAAGTACACTGCTGAGGGGAGCAGCGGGCGGCAGGAGAGGTCTGCGCGCCATGTGGGACCCTCCTCCAGTGGCCGGGGAGCAGGTGGGGATTGAGCCGGCACCGCAGAGGCTGCGGGCAGCTTCGCAACCCAGCGCTCAACCGCTGCGCCACCAGGGAGGCCCTATTTTTGTTTTGTTTTTAAACTGGGTTATGCTGGGAGAAGCCAGAAGAGGGGGCGCAATGAGGAGAAAGTGAGGAGCAGCAACAGAGGGAGGTGCTTGGATGGGAGGGGCACCCTGCTGGAGAGGCGAGCTGGAAGAGGGACACCCATCTCAGTAAGATGGGGGCCAGAGGTTTGGATGGCATGGGTGCAGGTAAGTTTGGAGCTCAGGGCAGAGAGAACACCTGAGAAGTTTTCTTTTCTTTGCAGAGAGAGTCCCGCTGGTTTCTGGGAATAAATGAGGAAGGAGCAGTGCAGAAAAGTGGAGGGTCTGTGAGACCCTTGCAATAGCTGAGGTGGGGCTGGAGGAGCCTGGGCAGCAGGGTGGCTGTGGGCTCGTGGAGGCTGCGATCCATGAATGGGGACTAGTGTGAATTCGGGAAGAGACCCCCAGGTCCAGCTCTACAAACGAGGACTAGAGAAGGCAGGCAGCTACCATGTCCTAGTGTTGGTGTGGGGGACTCAGGGGGTGCTGGCAAACGGTGGGTGAGCAGTTGATGTAACAGACCTTAGGGCTCACTTGAAAGGAACAAGGGTTAATCCAAGGCGAGAAGAACAGGAGCAGGAGGGGCCTCCCTGGTGGTGCAGGGGTTAAGTCTCAGTGCTATCAAGCTATTCCCAGTCACTGCAGCATGACATTCCCCTGGCTGACCCGAATGGTGCAGCAGACCTCTCCTGTCTCCCCCACTGCTGCTCCCCTCAGCAGTGTATTTCAGCAAGTCTGCCTGTTCTACTCTCCGCCCTGTCTCTGGTGAATCCTCTCACCCCCTGCACCTCTGCCCTATACCCCAGTTCTTGTATGCATAAATAACTAAATAAATCTTTAAAACAACACAAAACAAAAAAAGAAGGAGCAGGAGCCCAAGGTCTCTGTGCAAAGGTATAGCGGAGGCGAGGAGACAGAAGGCACAGGGGGTACAGTGGCTGCTGGGTTCAGGATGAGAATCACTGCAGAACAGAGAGTAACACTTCAGAGGTGGAATCATTTCAAAAGATGACGAGGTCCCAGTAACAGGCGGGTCATATGGAGGGGACATTCCATGAGCTAAAGACAAAAAGAAGCACAGACGCTAGGGACGGGGCACTGTCCTCAGGATACAGACATTCCCAGAGTGACGGCAAAGCCCAGAATAAAAACACAGTGACAAGGTTCTTTCTCTCTGCGGCCCCATATGGCTGGACCATCTATTCCATTAATTCCAATTCCAACCTACAGATATCTGTCCCTATAACTCAGCCTTTAACCCTGAAGCTGCCTGGCTCCTCACCTTCATTGTCCAAACAAGCCCCATGGGTCCAAACGGAACTGGCCACCATGGGTGAAGTGTCACGCTTGTTGGTGCCATCTTGAATTAGTTTTTAAGAGATACTGGCAGAGACTTTCAACCAGGAAGAGCCAGAGAGGGTTGGGGCCCTGCATTGGGTGGAAAAGCTCCAACTCTGAGAACTGAGTTCATCCCAGAAAACTAGGAAGCCAGGAGTCCCTGCCAGCCAGCCATCAGCTGCAGATATAGTCACACCAAGCTCAGAGCCTCTAGCCACATAAGGCGAGGTGATACCCAAGGGATCACTCACTCCCAGCGAGTCTTAGACTGCACACAGCAAGGCTGGCTCCCTAGCCTGCAGCACAAAGAGCTTTGAGCAGGGGACCCAGGTTCCAGGCCTGGCTCTGCCATGAACTTGCAGTGTGACCCTGCATTGAGGCCCAGTTTTGCCTGTTGAACAAGGAGTTGGGTGTGGGGTCTCAACGCCTCCTGCAGTCTTAATAGTCTACAGGGGCAGGGCCGGAAGGAGACTCAGCAGCTCCATCACTCAGAATGCACCTGCTGCAGAAGACAAATGAGCTGAAGTCTTCAAGTCTCATTAGAGTCATGCAGTGGAGTCATCCCTTGGGGGTTCACTACTGTACCCCTTCCTTCCCTCTCTTTCCCAAGAGCCTCTGAAAGTTGGTGATACACCCCCATACCACTTGCTTGTTCTTCATGAGGTTTTCTTTAGGTGAAAAAGTCAATCTGGTTTGAGGCTGTGTGTGGAAAAGGAGAACCCCAGCCATGGGCCACCCCTGAGGCCCACGACTATCCAAAGCTTTCCTCTTAGGACTCCATCACCATGAACCCCATCAGAAACCCAGGACCCAAATCCATGGAGCAAGAAGAACCCCAGGTGCACCCCTCACCCCCAATTTCTCTGGCCTGGTCCCTGGAAGGACAGGTAGATTCCGCGTGTGCCAGGGACTCTCAGAAGCCATGCCAGGGCTGGGGAGGGAATGCCATCATCCTGCTTGATGTGTACCCAAGGCTGAGCCCCTCCTTCATCAGACAGCTGTTCTGCCCTTACCCTGGGTCCAGAAATACATCCCAGGGATCCTGCATTTGTAAGGAACAAATTAGGTCCTAGATACTTCCTCTCCAGGATGCCTAACCTATCTGGTGACTGTAGGTGACAAGTTTGGGGGTGCCAGCCAGGCTGGGGGTACCAACCAGGGGATTTGGACAATGGAAAGGAATTCCTTAGTGGTCCTCAGCTGAGACCATATCCCCTCTGGGAAGGCCTGGCTGAGAGGCCCAGGACCAAACGGGGAACAGAGCCCCGGAATCTGGGTCCTCCTACAGTATCACCTGATAGGAATTAGGTCAAAGGGACCATAGGAGGGTCCAAAAGGAACAAACCAAGGCCTAACAGCTACAGTGAGTACAGACTTTGCCTGGTGTGACCACCCTCCTCAGGGCCCCCTTTCACACTCCCTCCCACATATTTGGGGTCCACGGTCATTGAGCTGTTAGTGACCCCCCCACCCCCAGCACACACCCTGCCCGTGCCAGCTCACCGAGCGATCTCCCTTCCTTCCTTCCAGTATTTCCTTCTGGTTGCTCTCCTGAGGAGAAAAAGAGGGGGTAACTCCATGCCCTTATTGCCTCACCTTGCCATTCCTGCCCTCTGTCTGGCCAGACCTGGTCGTTCAAGGCCTCCTTCAGGGCCTCGGTCTCAGTCACTTCAGATGGGAAGTAAGTGGGATCAGGACGGAAGGGCTGCCATTGGTGCTTGCTCAGTGGGGCCTAGAACAGCAGGCAGGCAGCCCAGGTGAGGGAGTAGTGACTGGAGCCATGGGAATGAAGAGGGGGCCGGGTAGATGCTGAAAGGAGTAGCCCACCCAAAGAGGCAGAGGGCGGGAGCGTGGGGCTGTCAGGGCAGAGACCTCACTCCTGTGGTGGACTCACCCCCTGCAGATCCTGGGCATAGAAGGAGGGCAGCTGCACTTCTGTCCACTTATCTAGAGCCCAAGGCTTTGGGAGGGGCCACCTGTGGGACCCCGTGAGGTGATGAGGAAGGGAAGGCCTGGGAACTTCCAAGGGAAAGGTCAGTGAGGGTGGGCTGCCGTCTGGACATGGGGGTGGGGGGTCTGAGGGCCAACAGCAGGGTGTTGAGTGCTTACCCGTCTCTCCGATGGCCCTGTTTCAGGGGCCCGGGTTTCCCGTGTTGCTTGGAATGCTGAGATCCCATGGGCCGGGGAGTGCCTCCTGGGAATAAAATCCCTGTCTTGGCAAAAGGGTGCAAGCCCATACAGAAAGCAAAGGTGTCCTGGCCCCCATGGCGGCCAGAGGAGGGGTAAGTCTGGGGGTTAGTCCTGCTCCATGCTGCACACAAAGACCTGGAGCCTCCTGCAATCCCCTGTCACCCGGCTCAGTGCTGGAGCGAGCAGAAGCCCACCGGGGTGTCTTCCTCCATCACCGTAGCAACAGTCAGATTAAGAACCATCATTACTGATTCATTAGGATATGGAAATCCTCTCTTCTGGTCACACTTTCCCTCCCAAGCCCTTTAGGATTAGACTGAATCCCAAGTCCTCAGCAGCCATGCCACTCGGGGACACCCAACTGCTTGTTTCCACAGCAACACAGAGACTGTATATCCCTGCCTTGGTGGTTACTATAGCAACCCAGGCAGAGCCAGGTGCACTGAGGACAAAGGCTCCTTTGGGAGGAACCACAGCCAGAGGACACACTGGCTGATGCCCTCTGTGTGGCCAGCCCCGTGCCAGGAGTCAGGCGCAGGCCCTACGCTGGGGTACACAGGCTCTCCCTGTATGGGGAATGATTGGGGGGGTCTAGGATGTCCTTGTTTGTGTCCTCAGCCTCTCGTCCTCTCCCTTCACCTGAAGTACACCTGAGTGATCTTATCCCTGTCCAGGGCTGCACCTCTCACAACCCTTACATGGAGAACGCCCACATCTGCATTGTGGGCCCATCACGCTACTAAATTTGAGACCCCCTCCATATGCCTACTCTTGGCACACAACCCTACGAGTGCTCATAGCACCTCATGCTGAGGTACGCAGCTTTGACTTCCTGCGAATCTGGGCCTCCATCTCAAATATTCTGTCTCCGTGAGCAACATATCTGCCCCTCTCCCCTCAGCACCATCACAGCTTCCTGTCTACCTTCCTCTGCTGTCGATGGCAGTCGAGCCCTTCTTAATGACCTGGGCAAGTTTCTCTCCATGCAACAGCCCTCTTCCCAAGACGCCATCCTCCACAAGGCCTTCCAGCCTGTTACCTGGGCCTTGCATCAGGATGGGGCCTGCCTCCAGCTTGCTCTTCTCAAATCCATTCTCTAACTGGTACTCAACTGAGCACTCTGAATGCAAATGTGACCATGGCTCCTCTCCCTGTTAAGCCCCTCAGAAGCTCCCCACTGCCTGAGGACAGAGGCTAAGGGACTGTGCTTGGTCCACATCCTTCTGGAACCCTCTGGGCTCCAGGATTGTTGTCACCTTCTGCCTTCCTCTTCCTATCTCCAATCCTACTTTTCCCTCTCTTTATCCATCAAGATTACAATGAGATTTTCAATGAGAGCTTAGAATAATAATTAGGAATATTTGGGATTCAATCCCAAATTTCTGAAGTGAAAATGATGGCAGGATGTAAAACCAGATATTGCTGACCCCTTCCTGATGGGACTCTGAAGAGCATGACCCTGAGGTCTACCAAGCAGACATGAAAAGCCTCATGGGAAGACTAAGTGGCCAGGGAGGAGAAAGCAAAGGTGGGCTCGTTATGTCAACTCTCATGGCCTGCAGAAAAAAGAATTTTAGCTGGTCAGCTGAGAAGGGCATCCCCCAGCCCCTTTCATGCCACAGATGGGAATCAGGCTCAGAGGGAGGAAGGTAAGCCAGTCGCTCAACTCTGTCTGCCCTTCCCTCCTCCAAAGCCAGCGTGGAGAAAGCCACACAAAGTGTGCTTGTACAGACACCACACACAGGAGCTCCTGGAGGGGAAGCATAGGTATGTGCCCTGGGACCAGACACCTGGCTCCCACCTCTCATGATATCTTAATAATCCAGATAATAATCCCTTTCAGCTATCTTCTGTCCTGTTGTTCGCAGAATGGAACTTTCTCATTAGAGTCAAAGGGTATCTCAAATCTGGGGCCCTGGACAGCACTTTCGCCAGCACGGTGTTCCCCCAGAATCCCTTCCTGGCCAGACTCTCAGGTCTATCCACTGGTCCACAGGCAAGTGGACCAGGCCATATCTACTGTGGGGGAAGCCAGCTTCCTCTAAGAAGGCCCATCCTCACCTCAAGGATAATAAGACCTGGTTGCCTGGCAGCCTGGGGAAGGATGGACAAACAAACAGACAAAAAGAATCAGAACCTTGGGCTGCACAGCCTTTAGCCATCAAGGGTCACACCTTCTGGAGGCAGGAAGCCCTTTGACAGCTAAGCTGATGGCCTGGTGGTTATGAAACCTGCTCGCACACTGCCAGCCTCGGGTGCTCACTCTTTCCCGAGTGATCCCGCCACCTCTGCAGTCGGCAATTTCTTCTTCACTTCAAGCCCACACACTTCCCTTCGGTTCCAGCTCTGTTCTGAGCCCACAGAACATGACTGTTCTGTGACAGCACAAGGCAGTTTTAGAGCATTCTGTTTACAGTAGCTCTCTACCAAGGGATGAATGAGCACACCCCTTAAAGGAACTTCACAGTGGGGGGAAACTGAGGCTCAAAGGGGCAGTGGCATGCCCAGCAAGTGGCAGAGAGGCCCAGGGTGACCAGAGTGGGCCAGCTCTGCGGTGCTGTTCTGGCTTCAGAAGGGAGGCCTTAGGCAAGCTGAGCACAGCCCAAGGGACGGGCAGGGTGGATGTTCTTTGGTGAGCAGTGTGCCTCAGCTGACAGACGGGCTCTGTGGAGCCCATTTCAGTGTTTAGACCTGCCCTCTGCAGAGGGCTGGCTAGCAAGTGTCCATGTCTACTTCCACACCCCACTCCCCCACCCAGAGAGATTGTCACAGTCTTCCTTTAGCGACACGCTGTCCTTTTCCCAGGTAGGATTTGGGGGAGGCCATCTCACAGGGGCCGAGCAGTGCTTCAGCTTCCCGAGATCAGTCCAGGAGGGACACTGCCAGGCATTTATGCAGACCTGGCTGGATATGGCTAGAGCAGAGAAGTAAGACCAGTGCGTTCTGTCCACTAATCACCATAGCAGTTACCATAGCAACCTGCTGGTCCTTTGGGAGGTGTCTGAAGGCTGAAGCAGGGTCTAGAGGGATGGAGTAGGGCCTGGGCACCCAGCAAGGCCAGCTGATGGTGGGGAACCCAGCTCAGAGAGAAGCTGAGCAGGCCCACCCTGAGACAGTAGACCAGAGAACCCAAGGGAGCAGGCATGGGGGCCCAACACTAAGTAGGGGAGCAGGGTCAGGGCTAGGATGGGTGGCATAAAGTACTAGCCTAGGGCACAAAGACTAAAGAGGTGCCCCAAAACTCAGTGGCCAACATAAATAATACTTATCTTCACTGCATGCAAAATGTCCTTGGTAAACAAAATGTCAAAAATTTACACAAAGACATGGTTTAATGGAGTTGGACTCAAGGCGAGGCAAGTGAAGCAAAGACCTGCAAACCAGGGCTGATCCTGTCGGTTGAAATGTTGACTATGGGTGTGTCTGCATTGATTTGGATTTTTAAACAGTATTACATTAACATATTATTTATCTTGATTCCAGAGTTTTGGGGCTGGCCCTTAAATTTTGTCCTGGAGGCATCCGCCTCATCTAGTCTCAGGCCCAGAGGGGAGGACAGACTGAGTCGGGGCAGGAGGGATCCTGCTGCTTATGACAAGGAGCCAGGAGACATGGACTCATGTCTGCGAACTGCAGGGGTTTCTCTCCATTCTGAGAGCAGCAAACTCCTATTTCACAAGATTCTGCAACATGCAGATTGCCTTTGGGGAGCACAGGTGCCTCCAATGCACATGGGCCCCCTACTTATGGGGGTGACAGTGACTCAGAGGTGGCTCCCATCTCCTGCCCTCCCCTAGGCTGGCTGTTAAGGGGAGAAGAGGGGAACGAGGGGGCGGGCAAGAAGAAGCTGGCAGTTTTGCACGACTGGGAGCAGAAATGGCAGATCAGCTGTAATTGCCTGAAGCTGAGAGAGGCTGTTGATAAATGTTACTAATAATCAACCTTCAGATCTGACACCCAGCTCAACCTGGGATTACTGTTTTGAATGGGAATCGAACCCAAACCAGTAATTACCCTGGTGAGTGATGCCAGTCTAACTCTGCAGCCTGTTGTTCCAGGCAGGGGAATGGCACCTGCATGTTGGAATCAGCTCATCACGGAGAGGAGTCACAAGAGCCCTCTTCTTAAGGTCACTTCAAGAGCAAGCTGGCCTGGCCTCCAGTGACTCAAAAGGACACAGCCAACAGGAATAGCCACCCTCCTTCCTAGGGCCTGGTGCAGGAAGGGATACCTATCCCTCAGCCATAGTCTCTGAGCAGAATCCAGACCTCGGGCCTCACACTGTCTGTCTCCCCCTAGGCTGGTGACAGTCTCTGGCTGACATTGTGCCCAGCTATCCAAAACAGCTGCTTAGGGGTTTGGGAGTGGGCTATCCTCCCTAACACAGATGCCATCCTCATAGCCACATAGTTGTTTCCTGTTAAGACAGGGAGGCCCCTGGAAGGGCCCTGGCTGGGCCAGGTGAGAGGGGCAAAGCCGCCTTAGGCGCTAGAGCCCATCCCAGGCCTGTCTTCATCTGTGATGCTCATGTGCTTATTCCCAGTGCCAGATAAGGCCAGGTGTGCCTGGAAACAAGCAGATCCCTGGAAACAAGCAGTATTTTCTGGCCATTGCCTGAGTCTCCTTGGTGCCCCTCATCCTATCCAGAGTCCCCCTAGAATGCTGGCATCACCTAGGATCGGGTCAGAGTGGGGAGGCTGAGCCTGGCTCTGAACCAGTTCCCATCCCAGGGCCCCTCATGCTTGGGTTGTTACTGCCGGCTTCCTGGCAAGGCACTCAGCGGACACATTGTGATGGCAAATAGTGATGGCAACACTTTCTTGTTTGCACATCATTCACCACCAAACACCTTCTATGCCAGGCCCAAGGCCCAAAGGAGAGAAAGAAAGTTCCGGCCCTCAAGGGGCCCTGTGGGGAGGAGGGTAAATGAACAAGCAATTAATTCCAGGTTATTGTAAAGGCAGGTAGGCCCTAATGGCCCCTTTTAAATGTTCCCAAGTAAAATGTCCAGAAATGAAGGTTCTGGAGGGGTCAATGAGCTGTCTAGGGAGGCAAACAGAGCTGGTAGGATTCAGA